CTGCTGCTATAATTGGCTGTCCCAGCCTCTCTTTTGGTCACACTGACCTATACAGCGTCCTTATTGTGTTCTCTGCTGGGCCAAGACCTCCCTAGGACAGGGCTGCCTCTGTGCACCCAGTGACTCCAGGTGATTGATGTGACCCACACATCAAACGAGCACTCCTGACTCATCAACCAGGAGTCTACCGAGAGGGTACCTGAGAGGACTGGGTGGGAGACTGGAAAAGAAAGAGACTAGAGACGAAAGCTGGGGACAGGAGGTCCACCCAATGCTGAGAGCAGAGAGTAGCGCCGTTTATTGTTTACACACAGCTTTTATAGCAAAAGTAACTTTCCTTAGGTAGGGGGTTTTGGGAACTTGAGGGAATAGTCCCCTCCTCCCAGGGAACACCTCCCCCGGGACTTTCCATAAGGTGTAGGGAAGCAATCTTCCCAGAGTTAAAGCAAAACATAACAAGCAGAAACTGTTAACAGGATGGCCTTCCACTCTGTAGCTTTCAAGGCCGTTGGCTGTTTTCTCCTCAGCGGCTAACCTTCCCACACTGTTCACCCGGGCCTGAGAGCCTGTCAGCCTGCCAGCTTTCAGGCTTAATCCTTACTGCAGACCTCCAGCCCCCTACAGGTGATCCCAGTCAGTGACGTCCCTAAATCTTTCTAACGTACCTGGATATCCAGTCCATCCACTTGCAAGATCCCTTTTTGCAAAATTTGCAAAAGGTGGCCATATGGTCCTGCTAAGTCCCTTCCTTTCTGGGAGGGACTTTCATAACTCCTGGAGCCCTTTTTCAGGCGACGTCACCAAAATGGGGAAATAACAGGCCCCAGACCACCCCCCAACCCACAAAGACAACAGTAAGACAGCTATCCAGAAACATAAACAGATCTGGGAGAGCTCCTGAGGAACTTCAGCAGCACCATGAAACAGAAAACCTGAGAAGAACCACACGGAAAGTGAGGGACAAATAGCTTCGGTGTGCCTGCATTGTCCCCTCCCCAGGCCGTCAATGCTCAGCACCAGGAGGGAGCTCCAGCCAGAAAGCCCCACTCACTGGAAAAGGCGAGGGGTGAGAAACCCACTTCCCCACCCTTTGGGCACCACACAAGACCTGCTTCAGTTTCAACCCACCCAGAGACCAGCAAAGCTGACTTGAGAGGTGGCCAAGAGCTCTCAGCCTCAGTCACCAGGGGGGAGTGGCCACAGTTCCCAGTGACCTCTGCAGAGAACCAGCAGTTTTCACCATGCATACTCCCATCGTGGGTGCCAACCACCTAAGTGCCCCTGCTTGTCCCCACTAGAGCCCCGGGTCTGCACTGGGAGCCTGCTGGGCATCTGGAGCTCCGTGAGGCCCTCATGGCTGACCCCACAGCAATGTGCACATGTGTGGCTGCCAGCCTGGCTTGTCACAGCCGATGCTGCAGCCACAGAAATGCACACTGACAGCCCAGCCCCCGTGCCTGCTGAGGGCCTACCTTTGGGCCTTGTCACTGGCCAGCACCTCGGGGCTCACTTGTGCTCCCTCCGAGCTGTGCACCTGCATGCCCCAGCCTGGTCCCCATCACCAACCTGCACTGCTGTGCATGGCCCTTGGGGACTCTGCAGACGTGGTAGAGAACACCAACAGCCAGGATCCCTGTAGCTTCTGTGAGCCCACAGTGGGCCCAGGCCCTGGATGGCTTTGTCCCCCACCACGTGACGTGTGTGTCTGCAGCCAGTCCTGCCGCTACACACACCCCTGCATTTGACCTCCAGAGCCACATNGGGCAGGGGGAGGTACATGGGAAATCTGTGTACTTTCAATGTTGCTATGAGCCTAAAACTGCTCAAAAACATGAAGTCCTAATAAGCAAAAATAAATCCTAAAGCAAACACTAAAATAACACAACAAAGAATTTTGACTACTAAGCCAAAATCCTTCCATTCTTAAAATGGAAGAAAATAAAAAATAATCTAAATAATTTAAAGAAGGTAGTAAAAGGGGGAAAGGAGGAATAAAGAACGGATGGAACAAATAGAAAAAAAGTAGCAAAATGATAGATTAAACCCAGCCTTCTGAACTTGAAAAAAAAAAGTTCAATGTGCTTGCAAGAATTTCAGCTACAGAAAACCCTTACACTCTCACTCAGAAGAAACAGAGGGCCACAACTGATCAACTGATGGGGTGATGGCAGGAGTCGGCCTTTGTGTCAGGAGGGGTCTGTCTGGGCCTCACTGAAGGCTGAATGAACTTGCCTGTTGCTAAAATAGAAGGCTCATTTATAAAGTTTGCAAATGGAGGTTTTAACTTTTTAAAGTTTCCTCTTCTTTCCCATTTACCACAGTGAGCTTTTTATGTATAGTCAACATTATTTGATAGTTGTACATAAATTTAAATAAAAGTGGGAGGTATTCACTAGTTCCATTAGGGACTGCAAGCTCTGTTTGTACATATATGGCTATGTATGTTTCTAAACTCTTCTTTATGTGTTTTAGGTGTTCATACAGTGGTATTTGGGATGCAATTGTTGGAGCTTGAAGAAGTTTTTGCCACCATCTGTTTCTACTTCACACAGGAGTAGGTCTTCATGTGGAAAAGACAATAATTTGCTGTGTGATGCAGGCTGGCTGTGGCCCAGCAAAGCCTGTAGTACAATAAACCTGATTCAGTGGACACCACCGTCAGCCGCGAACGTTCTCTGGTCCATGTTCCCCTTCACCTTTGGTTTCAACCCTGGCTTTGTGCTGCGTATACTCCAGCCAGCACATCTTTACAGCACGGTACCTGACGTGTGATTGGACAGACGTCACACTAAATGCAGTCTCTTATTGTTTTAATCATATGAACTAAAGCCTGTTACTGTGAGCTGTGCTTCAGTCTTGCCGGTTGTGTCGCACAGTTGGTATACTTATGGCCTGATACTCAGACTCTGGAGTCAATGGCCAGTGCAGTCCTTACTTCATTCCATTTGCCAGTTCCGAGGTGTTTACGTGACCCACACCTGAAATACCCGATCAGTAGTTACACACCGAAATAAAGTCAGAGGTGGGGTTTTCCTATGAACGTGACACTGTCCAGCACTCTGTTGATTTTTAAAGCGTCTCCATCCCGCTCAGTTGGGGCCATGTAACCTGTTCCTTTAGGCACTGTAGTCAGCAGTGAGGACCCTGGACCTGCAGCCACACTCACTGGGCAGCTGACTGTGCTCAGCTGTTGGTCAATGCGACAGACCCCACAGCCTGTGCCATTTTCTGCTGCCCGTGGTGAGCTGCCCACTCCTCTAGGAAACACTTGGTTGCTCCTGTGCTTTTCCTGGAATTTGGTATTATAGCATCACTGCCCTTTTTTAAGCCTTTTATTGTTTAGTGTTCATATTAAGGAAACCCACTAAATCAAGTCCTTATTAAAGGGACACCACTAAGAAATTTCTGTATAGCTTTCGCTGAATACTTAAATGCCTTAGTACAGTTATCAAGTCAACATGTTTTTAATTCATGAGAGGTCTATTGAAGTATAATATATATTGTACTACAAAGACTTGTTCTAATATTTTAAAATGTCAATGCAAAATATATATATAAATAGAACTTTTCTTTAAAGTTGAAATACAGCATTCTTTAAGATTGAAGGTTAAAAAGCATTCTTCACCTTATACGACGTGTTCTCCCACTGTGACGTTTTAGCTGCAGACTGATTGCTAAATTTCACTACCAGTCTGTCAGAAGCTGCCCACTGCTTTTGTTCTCGTTTTGTTTTAATCAACAGAGCACAATGACACCACAAACTCTGGGCAGTAACATGGGTAAAAATATCTGTGTGTATCTGTCTTAGTTATTTTAATTTGCTTTAAAAAAGCCTTGTGTATTTTATTTTGAAAAGCTGTAATATGAAGTAAATTCTCAGACTGAGCCTCCCCTTGGACCTCTCTGAAAGAATGTTTTTCACTCAGTGTCTCGTTCATGGCAGTTTTGCAAGCTGTTCACTTTGGAGCAGCTTTTTGCATGGGCTAGGAGCATGTCCATTCGACCACACCAGTTTATTCAAATGCAGGAATTTTTAAAATAAGATAAATGTTAAGTTGGTTTATAAATGAGCCTGTTAATTAAACCATCAGTACTGCATATCAATTCCACATTGTTTGACCAATAAAAGTTGCTGGAGAACCAAACTCGGGTGGTTCTTAATGACGGCCTCTAGGAAGAGTGAAGAGGGGAATCAATTTGGTCAGCGCAGTGCTCCCCAAAGCCACTGACCAATTCTCTGATTCTCCGGACACCAGCTGGTGTCCTCCAGGTCGGCTCTGACATCAGCCTCCTGGAGACTAGCCAATTCCAGAGGTTCAGGGCGCAGTCTGCCCCAACACACTCCAAATGCCAGTTGTAAGTCCATGTTGTCACCTGTGCTTCTGACCAACGGGCTGTAAATCTAAGGTTCCCACAACCCCCTCCTTTGGTTCCATTAATTTGCCAGAGTGGCCACAGAAATTTACCAGTCTTTGGAAGACAGGCCATGGTTCTGAAGTCAGGAAATACTGCCTGCTGCTAGAAAATACTGTGATTGGAGAATGTGGCTTTTTTAAAGTAGCATTTATGTTCTTTTCAGTTTTTCCTTTCGGAGATTTTCAGACATACACAAGTATGGAGAAATAACATTGTATCAGCCAGCTTCCACAACTTTATCTACACCGTGGCGATCCTGCTTTAGCTCCCTCTGCCCCAGTCTGTGTGCTGTAGCATTCGGACTCATCCATAGCACCTGTCACTTCACCCAAAAGTAGTTCCGTATGCATCTCTGATTGTATATTCTTTTAATTTATATAGTCACTGGATGATTGGGAACTTCTTAAAAGATGTTACAAAGCCAGGAATGGTTATGTCGCTTCTTACCTTACAATTGTATAAAGTCGGTTTCCTGGCACGTGTTGGAAAGCAAATGCACCTTTTTTACACAGTCCTGTAGGAGGTGACTTCCCAGCGTGTGGTAGTGGCACCGGTGTGCTGTTGTTTAGCCCAGGGGACAGTCATGCTTCAGCAGGGACTCCAGGGCAGCCAGGCTGCACCGGTTAAGTGTTTTGAGTGTCACCCCACCACTGCAGTGACATGAGACACACTTGGTTTAGGTCACCTCAGCGTGTCAGTGTCCCATGGTGAGGAGTGCAGTTAACTCTGACACAGGCATCTCTGGAACCAGGTGTGGGGTGGGCTGGGCCACACTGTAAGTGAGCAGCGATCTCAGTGTGCTCCTATCTCAGTGTGCTCCTTCCTGCTAGCGGACTTTGTCCTCGCTTCATGGGGATCAAATGAAAAACAGGCCTATGCTCTCACAGCTGCTTTCTCTAACTTCTTGATGTCATGTGCAAATTTATTTTAAAGAAAATTAGCATTAAGGAAACAAACTTGCCAAATTTCCGAGTATTTTACATTCCAAAATACCATGGAAATAATTATGTTCACTAAATGTTTAAGGACCTCCTATTTGGGGATGAGAGTACAATGCCAGTTTCTGTGCACTGAAATCACTGTACATTGAGTGGGAATTCTGTCACCTGGTTAGTTCAGGACGAGCCATCGCACTGTTCCCTTGTCC